GCCCGCTGCCCTGGGTACTAGTGAGTCTGCTCTCTCTGGTATGGTGCCCCCTGTACTTGCTCCCCCCAGTGCTGTCCCGGCTGGTTTCGAGTCTGCTCTCTCAGGTACAGCACCCACAGAGACACCTCTCTCAGGTACCGCACCGGCTGAGGCCTGTCACACCTTCACCCTTGACTCAGGTGCTTCCCGTTGCTTCTTCCGTGACAGTACTGAGCTCACACCGCTTCCTGCACCGGTCCCAGTCTCCTTGGCTGACCCCTCTGGGGGCCCAGTCCTTGCCCAGTCCACCACTGTCCTCCCTTGTCCGGCGGTTCCGTCTGGCTCGTTGTCGGGTTTCCACCTCCCCTCGTTCTCGACGAACCTGGTGAGCAACGCTGTCCTCCAGGATCAGTGGGTTGACACCTTTACCCCTGGCGGACAGCGTGTGGCGATCTGCACGTGCTCCAGGACCGGCCGTCACCTGGCTACGTTCACCCGTCGGCCGGGGTCGAGTCTCTACACACTGACCACTGCGTCTCCCCAGGTAGCTGCTGTCGGTCAGGTGTCTGCGTCAGGTCTGGTGGCCCACGCCTGTGAGTGTCGTTCCCTGTCGCACCAGACTCTTCTCTGGCACCACCGCCTGGGTCACCCCTCCTTGCCACGCCTTCGTGGCATGCACCGTCGCCTCCTTGTGTCCGGTCTTCCCAGGTCCCTCCCTCCCCTCCCTGCCTCGCCTGCGCCGCCTTGCCTTCCTTGCGTCGAGGGGCGGCAGCGCGCCGCCCCTCACTCCTCCTCGTTCCCCCCGACAGAGGCTCCTCTGGAGACCCTCCACCTGGACGTGTGGGGCCCAGCCCGCGTTCGTGGTCAGGGCGGTGAGCGGTACTTTTTGCTGGTTGTCGACGACTACTCGCGTTACACCACGGTCTTCCCCTTGCGCACCAAGGGTGAGGTCCCTGCTGTTCTGATCCCTTGGATCCGCACGGTTCGTCTCCAGCTCCGCCGCCGTTTCCGGACGGATCTTCCTGTCCTGCGTCTGCACTCTGACAGAGGTGGTGAGTTTTCCTCCGACCTCTTGAGGACCTTCTGTCAGGCGGAGGGCATCGAGCAGACCTTCACGCTTCCGGACTCCCCACAGCAGAATGGGGTTGCTGAGCGCCGCATTGGCCTGGTCATGGAGGTCGCTCGTACCTCCTTGGTCCACGCGGCGGCTCCCCATTTTCTGTGGCCGTTTGCTGTCCGGTACGCCGCGCATCAGCTCAACCTCTGGCCCCGTGTCTCCTTGCCGGAGACCTCGCCCACACTGCGTTGGACGGGGGAGGTTGGCGATGCGTCGCGCTTCCGGGTGTGGGGTGCTCGTGCCCTTGTCCGCGATACGTCCGCGGACAAGCTCTCCTCCCGCACGCTTCCCTGTGTCTTCCTTGGCTTTGTCCCTGACGCGCCTGGCTGGCAGTTTTACCACCCCACCTCGCGCCGGGTCTTCGCCTCTCAGGATGTCACCTTTGACGAGTCGGTCCCTTTTTACCGTCTCTTCCCCTACCGCACTGCCCCCCTCCCTCCCCCGCCGCTTTTCCTTGCTCCTGGTCCCCCTCCGGTAGACCCCCTTCCCCCTCAGGGTCCTGCTCCTTCAGGTGTCTCTCAGGTAGACCCTCCTCCCGTCGCTGAGCCTGTCGAGGTCACAGGTGACTCAGGTGCTGCTGCGGGTGGTGCTGCTGGGAGTGCTGAGCCTGGGGGTGCTGAGCCTAGGGGTGCTGAGCCTGGGGGTGCTGGGGCGGCAGGTGCTGGGACTGAGGGTGCTGGAGCTGAGGGTACGGTGCCTGAGAGTACGGAGCCTGGGGGTGCTGAGCCTGGGGGTGCTGAGCCTGCGGGTGCGGGGCCTGGGAGTGCTGGGACTACGGGTGCTGGAGCTGAGGGTACTGTGCCTGAGAGTTTGCCGCCTGGGGGTGCTGAGCCTGGGGGTGCTGCGACTGGGGGTGCTGAGCCTGCGGGTACTGAGCCTGCGGGTACTGAGCCTGGGGGTGCTGCTACTGAGCCTACGGAGCCTCGGGTTACTGCGTCTGGGGGTGCTCCGGTTCGGGGTGCTGAGCAGTCTCTCACACCGCAGCAGCTTCGCGACTGGTACGTCCGACGCTTTCGCCGTCCTAGTGGCTCGGCTGGAGTTTGGGGTGCTGGAGCTGCTCGTCCTGGGGGTGCTCGTACTGGGGGTACTGGAGCTGCCGGGACTGGCTGTTCTGGGAGCACTGTGACTGGAGCTGCTGGAGCTGGGGACTCTGGCGCTGGCGGTGCTAGCGGAGTTGGAGCTGCCGACTCTGGGGGTGGCGCTGCTGCTGGTGCTGCGGACCCACCTGGTGGAGCTGCTGCTGGTGCTGACGAGTCGGACGGTGGAGCTGCTGCTGGAGCTGGGGACCCGGCCGGTGGAGCTGCTGCTGGTGCTGTGGACCCGGACGCTGGAGCTCCTACTGGTGCTGAGGACCCGGCCGCTGGAGTCCCGTCTGCTTCTGGAGACGCTGCGCGGCCGCGACCGTACTTCGTACCGCTCCTTCAGCAGGTTCTTGGGCAGGCTCCTCCTCCTTTTCCTCCTCCCTCCGTAGAGTGTCCTCCGCCTGTCCAGCCGCAGTCACAGTTACCGCCTGCCTCGCCTCTCCCTGCTCCCTCTCCTTATACTGGTCCCACAGGAGGTCTTACAGAGCGTCGTGAGCCTGAGTCTCGTCCTGCGTCGCCTGTTCGTCCTGCTCGCACTGGTAGTCGTGTCCGTCGTGAGCGTCCTCCTCCTGTCCCAGGCACTCACTACATGACTCTGCGTCCCTCTACTGCTCCTCGGCGTGTCCCTCTACCGTCTCCTCCTGCGTCCTCTTTGCCTGCCGTTCCGGACCCTGAGTCTGACCGGTATCGCGCTGAGCACCCTACAGTCACGCGTCTCCTTGCTACTGTTGTCACTGACCCCACCTTTGAGTCCTCGGCTGCGTCTGCTCTGGTCTCTGAGTTGGTTGACTTTGCTGCTGCCTGTCGTCTAGACTACGCTGCTAGCCTTGTCGCTGAGTCAGAGTCTGCGTCTGTCTGTCCTCCGTCCGTCGGGGGTGAGTGTGCTCTTGGCACGGACGTCCTTGAGGACAGGCAGGAGGACTTTGACTCTCTTGCGGCTGCTGTACCTCATCTCGTGGCCTGGTTGCTTGCCCCTGAGGGAGACCCGGATGCACTAGACATCCCCACTCCGCGCACTTACGCAGAGGCGATCTCGGGTCCCTACTCCTCTCAGTGGCAGACAGCCATGGACGCAGAGATGGCATCCTGGAAGTCCACAGGCACCTACGTCGACGAGGTTCCCCCTCCTGGGGCGAACATCGTCGATGGCATGTGGATTTTCAGGGTGAAGCGGCCGCCAGGTTCTCCGCCTGTCTTCAAGGCTCGTTACGTTGCTAGAGGCTTCAGTCAGCGTCAGGGGGTCGACTTCTTCCAGACCTTCTCCCCCACCCCGAAGATGACCACTCTTCGGGTTCTGCTGCACGTTGCTGCTCAGCGTGACTACGAGCTTCACTCTCTTGACTTCAGCACAGCGTTCCTGCAGGGCAGCCTGCACGAGGAGATCTGGCTGCGCCGCCCACCTGGCTTTACTGGGTCGTTTCCCCCTGGTACCCAGTGGAGTCTCCGCCGGCCAGTCTACGGTCTCCGCCAGGCGCCACGTGAGTGGCACGACACACTGAGGACTACTCTTGCGGCTCTTGGGTTCGCGCCGTCTACTGCTGACCCGTCGCTGTTTCTGCGCACAGACACGTCGCTGCCGCCGTTCTACATCCTCGTGTACGTCGACGACTTGGTCTTTGCTACTGCTGACACTGAGGCACTCGCTCGTGTGAAGTCGGAGCTGCAGAAGAGACACACCTGCACTGACCTGGGTGAACTGCGTAGCTACCTTGGCTTGCAGATCACCCGGGACAGAGCTCGCCGCACCATCACCCTGACTCAGTCACACATGGTGCAGCAGGTCCTTCAGCGCTTCGGCTTCCAGTTCTCCTCACCACAGGCCACACCTCTGGCTACCAGCCACTCGCTCTCAGCTCCACCTTCGGACGAGTCCGTAGAGCCGAGTGGCCCGTACCCAGAGCTTGTAGGCTGCCTCATGTACCTGATGACTTGCACGCGACCTGACCTCGCGTACCCTCTTAGCATCCTTGCTCGTTACGTTGCGCCTGGGAGACACAGGCGAGAGCACTGGGAGGCTGCTAAGAGGGTGCTGCGTTACCTGTGCAGTACATCAGGCATGGGGCTGGTGCTTGGAGGACGCGACAGAGTTGTCCTCACTGGTCACTCGGACGCCTCTTGGGTGGACGACCTGGCTACGCAGCGGTCGTCACAGGGTTACACCTTCAGCCTTGGCTCAGGTTCTGTCTCATGGCGGTCCACCCGCTCTTCCTCTGTTCTCGGCTCTAGTTGTGAGGCTGAGATCTACGCCACAGCCATGGCTGCACAGGAGTTACGCTGGCTCACCTACCTGCTGACTGACTTGGGAGAGCGGCCTAGTTCTCCTCCAGTTCTGTATGGTGACAACAAGGCGGCTCTTGCCTTGTGTCAGGAGCACAGACTGGAGCACAGGACGAAGCACATTGCTCTTCGCTACTTTCTTGCTCGAGAGCTTCAGCAGCGCGGTCAGCTTCGGCTTGTGTACGTGGACTCGAAGGCCAACACTGCATAGTGATCATCAGCGGCACTGTACTTCTTTAGGCCTTGTGTCCACGTTTCCTCACTTGCTCACTGCTTGACATTCTTTGTACTGTACTTTATATATATCTTGTTGCTTGCTTGCTAGGTTTTGATCACTGTGTTGCTTGTCTTGTACTATATCTAGCACTGCATGTGAACTGGCCTTGTGGCCTTTACTTGTGCTCGGAGTGTGGTGACGTTGTGATCCACCCTGGGCTTTGTTTTGCTTTGCTGGACTGGTCTTGTGACCCTTTGTTCTCCCCCACTTTGCCTATGGGGGTGTGTTAAACTGTATTATGCTTGTAGGCTGTAGTGGGGTAGCCAATATGGGGTACAACCCCAACTAGGGTTTCATATTTGTACCCAAACTTCTGCTAGTTCATCATTCTTGCCTAGTGATTCTGACACTCCTGCCGTGCTTCGAAGTCCTGAGCCTTATTGAATGCAGCGCTTTGGTTGATCTGACTGACAATTTTACTTCGCTGAGCAGCTTGCAGAGCTTGAAGGTCGACTCATGCGATCTCGCGCTTCTGCCAGAGAATTTTGGAAATCTGATCACCCTGAAGACACTGGTGCTGATAAATCTGCCTCTCACAAGTCTCCCAATCTCCATCAGCCACCTCTCGTCATTGGACACCCTTGGTGTGGTTGAATGCGAGGCGATTCACGAGCTGCCTGCAGGTTTTTGTTCTCTCTCCTCACTGAAGTCGCTATGCCTTCATGCAGTGACAGATCTGGAGATTCCAGAGAATATCGGGCAGCTGACCAACCTAAATTCTCTTTTCCTGAAATCCAACTTTTCGCAGCAGCCGCTGCCATCCTCTGTCGTCCAACTGTCGTCGTTGACGCGGCTTGAGCTTGACAAGTGCGTGCTATCTGAGATCTTGAAGGGCATCAGTGAGCTGACAAGGCTGCACGAGCTCTACATCCACTCATGTGGCGCCATGCGGGAAATACCCGAGTCCATCACATGTCTGAAGTACCTGGAGATCTTGAGAATCGTGGATTGTCGGGGTCTCACTCGGATGCCTTGGAATCTGGAGTCCCTTGCGAGGCTCAGGAGGTTGGAGATTCGAGGGTGTGCGCTGCTGCGAGGAATCCCAACTAATTTTCCTCATTCGCTCGAGCGCTTGTCCCTTCAGATCAACCAGCAGCTCCTTCAGCGGCAGACCAGCCCACCATCACAGTTTCCTAGGTTGCCAGGGCTTAGCGGGTTGCTTTTGGGAGCAGCTGAAGTCACTGGTGAGCTTGCTTTGAGCCGAAGCTTCTCTTGTCTGACGCGATTGGAGCTGGTTTTGACCAAAGCTTTGCAGGAGATTCCGTTCTCCTTGGCATCGGTCTCTCACCTTCGTGTCTTAACCATCTGGGAAGCTGCAGGGCTGAAATTCCTTCCAGAGAGCCTTGGTTCATCTTTGCAGCAGCTGCGGCGGCTGCACATTGACAAGGCTGCAGAATTGGAAGAGCTACCAGGAAGCATAACCATGCTTCAAACCCTCACCTGCCTTGAGATTCATGCACCGAAGCTATCCGCCCTCCCCGAGAACATTGGCGCTTTGTCAAGATTACGCAAGTTGGATTTGTCCAAGTGCTCGGCCCTCCAGCATCTCCCTGCTTCGCTCACGCAGCTTGCTTGCCTACACAACCTTGACCTTACAGCCTGCCCCATCCGCTTCCTTCCTCCCAACTTTGAACGGCTCACCCGGCTCAGGGAGCTGCAATTGGTTGACTGCAAGCAGCTGGAGGCTCTACCAGAGGAGTTAACACAGCTCAAGGTGTTGCGGTGGCTCACTATCGAAGGCTCTTCTAGGCTGTTTGAAGACCAAGACCAGATCGAGAGGCTAGAAGCCATGCATGGGTTGAGATTCTGGTAGCAACAGCGGAAGTGGTAGTGGTGGCATGGCATAGTGTGGTAGGATTTTAGGGAATGGCAGGGTGGTATAACATAATCCTAGACCAGTGTTGGGTGGATGGTGGTAGCATATGGCTAGATGGATGATGGGTATGCTGTACTAGCTGTTCCCACCAGCATGAACATGGGTGTCTCAAATACCTAGCACGAATGTTGTACAGCTGGCTAGTGTGGCATGCTCATTACTCTGGTGAGATGTGTGTTGCATATGGATACCCCTATAAATGATGCAGAAAATTGTGAACAACGAAGATACAATGCAATTGCAGTAATTCTCTGTTTGACACCACCACAATGCACCAGATGCATGTCCATGCATCAGAAACGTCTTCTCTGTCGTCCCACCAGCACTACCAGCGGCAGACAGTAGCAAGAACTCCCCACGCCTCCTCATCTGTACACCCCCTCGCTTCTTCTCACGTCCGCCCCCCGTTCCTGCCGTTCCCTCCCTCCCCTTCCTTCTGTTCCCTGCTACCCTTCTCTCCTCCGTTCATTTCTCAATGATGGTGTGGCAACAGTCGGCTTCGTGTGGCTTCAGAAGCAGGCTGCGATCGAGATGGGTGTGAAAGGGAGGAGAGGAGAATGAGCTGGGCCGCAGTCAAATAGCTCCGACCTGGAATTGGACGAGGTCAAACACAGGTCAAACGAGGAATAAATGAATGAGAGAGAGCAGCGGAACAAACACAGACGTGATTCGTGGCAACTTGCAGCAATCAAAGAACGTAACACACGGCTAACACAATCTCATAAGATCACTCTCATGGACCGCAACCATCCAGTTGAGATTGTTGATGAGTCTAACATTGTTTCAGGCTTTTCAAATAGAGACAAAACCTTCGTGTGGTGTGTACGGACAGCCACACATTTGAAGCCTGTGCATACACGCAGAAAAAGAACCGGCCTTGACAGACAGCCATGACATGCATCGGCAGCCATGACATGCATTGACAGCCTTACATGCATCGGCAGCCATGACATGAATTGACAGCCATGACATGCATCGACAGCCATGATATGCATCGACAGCCATGAAATGCATTGACAGCCATGACATGCATCGGCAGCCATGACATGCATTGACAACCATGCAATTCTTGGCACTCAGGACCTGTTTTCAACCTCCACAACTACTTTGTCTGTACATATCCCACAACTGCTCTTGAGCGCGCTTCAACTGACCCGTACCTTGAATTTTCACGAGGCTTAATTTCGCTTTCCAAACACTGGTGTGGGATCAGACGGAAGCCACCTCAAACTGAATCATGGTGTGCCATAGACTTTCACGAGGCCCTGTCGTTGCTTCACTCTAAGGCATGTATGCCAAGACTTGAAAGTCGCAGCCGCGGCTCGCCTCAACCTTCACTCCGCTCCACCGCGGCTCACCTTAAAATCTTAATGGTATTGAGGTTTGTGACTCGATGCGAGACGGTGCCCTTCAGCACATTCTCCTCCTATTTTGGGATCCCATTTCAGAAATCCGAATCACTAACTTTTGAGATCCTTTGAAAAGAAATTCCCTCCTCCGCGGCTCACCTCAAACTTTCACGAGGCTCTGCCGTTGCTTCTTCGACATCTTCTTGATGGTCTTCGGGTTCGTAATTCGTTGCAGCACCGCGCCCTTGAGCGCATTCTCCTCCTTCCGCCGCTGCTTCTCCTGCGCCGCCGCGCGCTTCTCCTGCTTGTGGCTCCTAATCTCCTCCTTCAACTCCTCCTTCCGCTCCCTATACGCCTTCTTAAGCTCCCGCTGCCTTCGCTTCTCTTCTAACGAAACCTCCTTTCGCCCGGTGACTCTTAACGCGGATGCTCTCGTCGTTCGCACGGTTTTCCACTTGCGACCCGAAGCCTTCCCCGCAATCACGCCGTCGTACGACGGCCGACCGTACGACGGCCGGTTCTCGTCGTCAGCCATGGGAACGGCTTGCCGTTTAGCTGACGGCTGGCCGTCAGCACCGTCGCCGTCAATTTCCATGTCGCCCGGTTGATCCGCGGCGGCGGCTTCCGCCTCCGCGGCTTCGGCGGCGGCTTTCGCCTCGCGCTCCTCTTTTTGTCGTTTGCGCTTCTTATCCCCGCCCATACCCTCGTCCAGGAACCTAAAGTCCATCACAGGCTTTAAGAGCGCCGGAGCTAACGCCATTGCGCGCGAGTGCGAATCGACCGAGTTTCGTTGATCGAATCACGACTAAATACGGGTGGACGCAAGGTACCGTAAAGGCGAAGAATACTAAGCCGAGAAGAAGCGTTTCGGAGAAGAATGTTAGACGGGTGATAGGTGCCTGCCTGCTAAGTGGCCTTGTCACACCCTGCACTGCACCGTGGGTGGTTCGTGCTTGCGGGGAAAGGAGGCACGAAAGTGAGGAGGAAATGGAGGTGGAACGAGGTTTTGGAGAGGGAAGGGGGATGGGGGAGGGGCAAGGAGGGTTTGGAATTAGCGAAGGGAACCGCGCTATTGAAACCCTAACCTGGTTCGTTTTTGTGAAGGGCTGAGGAGATTTAGAACACACTGTTCTGCACCTTCATTTACGACATCGTACATCTACATGACCCAATACAATAATATACATTAAAGGGCAAAATGGAGCAGGAATACCAAATTGTTGGCTCTCATCCATGGCTGTTTCACCATCGGCCTTGGAGAGTTGAATAAACACTTCACACAATTTTGAACATTTTATCAAGCACCTCTGCAGCACCAGCAGCCACAATAAAAAACACAACAAAAATGTCCCCAATCAGTCAATACATTCGGAACTAGAACTTGGTATTTTCAAACACCTCCTCCGCAGCAGCGGCCACGTGCCCCTCCGCCTTGTGGATCAGCAGGCTCGCCGTCTGTTAGTAGGCCGTGCCACGGATGGCGTCACATCTAGTGCATGGCCCTGTCCAGCTTAAATGACTAGTCCACTTCTAATGCGTGCTTTTGCTGTTGTACACTATCCCCACAGCCGCAATTGTCACTTCAAGAAAGACAGAGCCTCGCAGTCAGTCAGTACATTTGGAACTTGGACCTGCTGTTCTCAAACACCTCCTCCGCAGCAGCAGCGGCGACGTGGCCCTCCGCCTTGTGAATCTGCAGGCTCGCCTTCTGGTAGTAGGCCGTGCCACGGATGGCATCACATCTAGTGCATGGCCCATCCAGCTTTAATGACTAGTCCACTTCAAATGCGTGTTTTTGCTGTTGAACACTATCCCCACAGCTGCACCCGTCACTCAAGAAAGAGAGCCTCGCAAACAGTCAGTACATTTGGAACTTGGACTTGGTGTTTTCAAACACCTCCTCAGCAGCAGCAGCCACGTGCCCCTCTGCCTTGTGAATCTGCAGGCTCGCCTTCTGGTAGTAGGCAGTGCCGCGAATGGCATCCGCAATAAAATCATCAAATCCGATCGCCAGCGCCGCTTCTGCCTGTGCTCCGTACACCAGCCGCTGGTGGATGTTAGAGGGTTCACGAGGAGGGGGAAGGGGGAAGGGGGGAGGGGAGAGGGAGGGGGAAGAGGGGAATAGGGGGAAGAGGGGAAAAGGGGGAAGGGATCTGCATGTGCCCCTGCCACAGCAGCCACGTGTCCCTCTGCCTTGTGAATCTGCAGGCTCGCCTTCTGGTAGTAGGCCGTGCTGCGTATGGCATCAGCGATAAAGTCGTCGAAACCGATGGCCGCTTCTGCCTGCGCTCCGTACACCAGCCGCTGGTGGGTTTTGGGTGTTAGAGGGATTGGGAGAGAAGGAGAGGAGTGGGAAGGTGTGGGGGGGAAAAGGAGAAAGGGGAATGGGTCTGCAGGTTTCCCTGCCACAGCGCTGCTTCTGCCTGCGCCTCGTAGACTAGCCGCTGGTGGGTTTGGAAAGAAGGGAGGAGGGATGGGGATGGTGGGGAGAAGATGAGAAGGTGTGAGGGGGTGTGAACATCTGGTAGTATGCCGTGTCGCGGATGGCGTCCGCAATAAAGTTGTCAAACCCGTTTGCCAACGCCGCTTCTGCCTGAGCTCCGCACACCAGCCGCTGGTGGGTGTAAAACCAGACGAGGGGGAGTGGTGATGGTGGGGAGGAAAAGATTTAGAGGGTGTGAACGTCTGGTGGTAGGCTGTGCTGCGAATGGCATCGGCAATGCAGTCGTCAAACCCAATGGCCAGGGCTGCTTCTGTCTGCTTGCCGGGTACACCAGCCGCTGGTTGTTGAGAAAGGGGTGGGAGTGGTGGGGAGGAGAGAGAAGGCGAGACGGGGTGAGCGGGGGGTAGTAAGAAGCAACCCAGTCTGCATCAGCAATGAGATTGCCAAAGCCAGTGGCCATTGCATTGTCTGCCTGTGCACCGTACACTAGCTGCTGGTGGGTAGTTGTGGGATTGAGAGGGTGGGGGGACGGGGAATGGAGGGGGGGATGAGAGGAGGTGGGGAGTGGTTCTCTCAGGTTGCTAGCGGTAGGTTGGGAGATAGTGCATTGCATGGATTCCACAGGGAGGTGATTAGAAGCAATGGTCAGCTGTGCGCTGTGCCCCTGCTGCTGTTTGACAGGAGCTGTGGATGAGTGAAGAGGACAGGAGTCTTCTAGGAGGCGGTGTAGGAGGAATGACAAGGGGGAGGAGGGCTTGGGAGGGCCAGAAGTGGGGGTAGCAGGAAGAGGTGGGTGACTGGAAAGAAAGGCAGAGGTTGCCTTCGCTGCTGCAGAGCTGAGTGGAGAAAAACGCATCTGAAGCGTTGCGTTCTGCGTTTGAACGCTTGCGTTTGAACGCAAAACGCTGAACGCACAGAAAAACGGAGAACGCTTGGGAAACTTTTTTTTTTCCGGTCAGCCCGAACGTCGTTTTTGCCAAAAATCAACCCCTCCCAACCCAAATCGACCCCTGAAAACCAGCCCTTCGACCAAAATCCCAATCCTCCCCTAATATTGTGGGAAAGAATATTATGTGGGGGATAAAAAATGCTCAAATCTGTGCTATGTCCTTCTCCCCCTCCTCCCAATGCCCTATTAGAAGTTTTTTTGTCTGCCCAGAAGATTTTTCACCCTGCCCGGCCCTGCGCTTTTTTAGCGTTTTCAGGACCCCCAAAAATGCGTTCTGCGTTTTAAACGCAGCGTTCAAACGCCAGCGTTTAAAACGCTGAACGCGTTTTTCTCCACACAGCTGCAGAGGCGGCAAATGCTCTGGTGGTAGAAGCTAGGATGCTACTACTGCTACCGGGGAAGAGGCAGCTAATTCTGATGCTGAAGCCTTTACTGCTCATGCGGCGGTTGCATCAAGAGCAGGAGCAGCAGCAGTAGGGACGATTGGAGCGGAAGCTGCTGAGGGGAGGGAGGGAGCAAGCTGGTAGAACGAGGGTTCAACGATGAAGGAAAAGAAAACGAACAGCGAGCGTCAGTGCTCGAGTTGGTAACAGCATTTGGGCAGCCAAAGCGTGGTGGTCGCACAAGAGAAGCTGAAGAACCTGTGTGGTTACATCAGGAGCATGGAGTGAACATGCAAACGCATGAAGGTGACTGTGTTTTCCAAGTCACTCATTCCTTCCACGAAGAATTTTCACTACCATTGATAGCAGCATTGGAGCGAGTCATCTACCAGGATGCTCTATACCGAATCACCAAAGGATGGAGCCAAGAATTCCCATGGCTCGTGTTGTTGGCTCCATCCTGGTAGATGGCTCGCCGTATACCGATGTATAGAGCATCCTGGTAGATGGCTCGCCCCAATGCTGCTACCAAATCCAGCACCGACGATCGGTGTTCGTTTTCGTTTCTTCATCCTCGGACCCTCGTTCAGTCCACTTGCTCCCTCCCTCCCCCCTCAGCCGCTTCCGTTCCAACCATCCTTGATGCTGCTGCTCCTGCTCCGGGTGCAACAAAAGTTTCACAATCGAGTTCCTTGCCATATGCAACATAAGGGCTCCCTATGCGGTATTTTTTCCACGTGCAAAATCCCTTGTTCGCCTGACCATCTTGAACTGCACATTGGTCCACTTTAAACGTTCTGACGAATGTATTGTTCAAGATCTTGCACGATACGTTTGTCAAGTGGTGACCACCTGTGGTACATCTCAGGACTGTACTCTTGTAACCAATCGGGTAACCCCAAAACCCCTCTTGTTCAATTCTTGAACGCCTCTTCAACACATTTTGAACAGAACTATACAACACCCTTAGAACCTGGTTATCCATGGGGCATAAAAAAACAAGTTCCTGGTGGGCTTGAAGACGAGATTAGACTTTTGAGGTTCCTCAAAAAAGGGTGGATGCACCTCAGCAATGGAGAATGCACGGGCTAATAGGCTTGAGAGCCGACGATTTATCTATTTGAGTGGCTCCGATGAAGAGGAGCAGGAGGAGAGGATGGGAGCGCGGAAGGGCGCACCTTAATCTTGGAGAGGTGGATGGCGCCGAAACACATGGGGCACGGCTCACACGACGCGTAGAGCTCGCAGTCTGACAGGTCGTAGCGGCCTAGCTTCCTGCACGCCTGGGTGCGGGGAGAAGAGGAAGGAAGCACGTAAAGGGGTGGAACAGAGGATATTGCATTGAATCCTGCACACCTCGGGGTGGGGAGATGCAGTGGCAGTACAGCAAGGGAGCACATGCACATGCCGCGGGCGGAGTTGATGACAAAGCCACAAGAACAAAGAGCACTGCAGTGCAGAGGGACCTCAATCAAAGGGGCCTCGACACACACAGGGGGGAACACAAAGCCACATCTCTCACAGCAGTGAGATCAGCATGTGCCGTGGGGTCTGTATTCCGCAGCTCCGTGTTGTGACATGCCACCGCCACCTCTCCCTCGCGCACCACCACATCGTGCTGTAACTCGTATGCACATAGGGGCACGGAGAGAGCACATAGCCACACAGCAAGAGCCCTACCATGGTATGCCATACCTCTCTCACAGCCGTGACTTCAGCATGAGCCGTGGGGTCCGTGTTTCGGAGCACCATGTTGTGACATGCCGCCACCACCTCCCCCTCACGCACCACCAGTATACAGTGCCACCCATGCACTCAGAGACACACACAGCGAAATTCCTACCTCTCTGACGGCTGTGACTTCAGCATGTGCCGTGGGGTCTGTGTTTCTGAGCACCATGTTGTGGCATGCCGCCACCACCTATCCCTCTTGGGCCACCCTCATGCCGTACACATATGCACATAGAGACACACACACACACACACACACGCGCGCGCGCGCGCGCGCGCACGCACGCACGCACGCACGCACGCACGCACGCACGCACGCACACACACACACACACAGAGAGAGCAAGATCCCTACCTCTCTGACGGCTGTGACTTCAGCATGTGCAGTGGGGTCGGTGTTTCTGAGCACCATGTTGTGACATGCCGCCACCACCTCCCCCTCATGCACCACCTCAGTGTGTTGTAGCTCGCATGCACATAGAGGCACACACACAGAGCAACAACCATACCTCTCTGACGGCAGTGACTTCAGCATGTGCAGTGGGGTCGGTGTTTCTGAACACCATGTTGTGACATGCCGCCACCACCTCCCCCTCATGCACCACCTCAATGTGTTGTAGCTCGCATGCACATAGAGGCACACACACAGAGCAACAACCATACCTCTCTGACGGCTGTGACTTCAGCATGGGCAGTGGGGTCCGTGTTTCTGAGCACCATGTTGTGACATGCCGCCACCACCTGCCCCTCGCGCACCACCACGGCCCCAAACGGTCCCCCGTCGCCCACCTTCACGCCCTCGTACGCCTGTGCTACTGCCTGGTTCAGGTATGCGTGGTCCTGCTGCTGGATGGCTGGTGGATGGAAGCATACCGGGATGTAGGCATATGGGCATGGGGGAAAAGAAAGGGATAACGGGAGAACGAAGGAATGGGGGAATAGGCGGTTGGTGATTTAAGGGGGCAGGGGAATCAAAGAAGGAACGGAAAATAGCCTGGGGTGGGGAAATTAGGAATTGAAAGATTGGGGGTAGGCGTGCATAGTGAGTCGAGTCATTAGCTTGTCTAATCGGCTCGGCATGAATTTCAATTTGATAAATAAACAGGTCATATCGTTGTGCTTGCAAGTGGATGCTATGCTACACAACGAGCAGGGAAACCTCCGCGTGAGGGCGAGAGATGGTGGCTATGGGACACCGTGCAGTGCTGACTGGCAAGGATGGCAAATCCACCTATAATGCACTGCATCAACAACCCCAGCCACCTTCACGATCCCTTTTCGGTTTAGACCACTGCGATCGCCAGCTCACCTTCTTCGTGTGCCGCGAACTCAGCAAGAATTGCTGCAATTGGAGGGACAGGCGAATGGGGTGGGGAGAAGGGGAGGGATGGAGAGGTCGACTGGAGGTCAGGCAATGATGCCACGGAGAGTAAGAGGGAGAGAAGAAGGAAACGGGGAGGAGAAGGGAATAGACACGCGAAAGATTAGTTGGTAACATAATAATAGTAAAACTAATTCGAAAAAAAAAAAAAAACAAACAAACAAACAAACAAACAAAACAAAACGCATTACCTCTGTTAGTACCCCACCTCCCTGTATCCCGCTCATACATACGTGTGGAACAGACACACCTACGATTAGGAGTACAACCTGTACCAAGGTCGGAACTACGTAATCAATGTACCACACTGTACCAGGCTGTACCGCATTCGCGCACCTGTTGGGGCTCTTGTGGGGTCCGACATGTTCAGACAGCGAAAGGAGGAGCGCGGATTGCGAAAATCGCAAAGATCGCTGGCGAGAAGTAGCGAAATGGTCCTGGCAAGAAAGCAGCTAGGGGAATTTAATAGACTACCACATTTCACCAGAAAGCACAGGAGGCCAACTTTCTGACATGTGAAGTAGAAGCTTGATTCAGAATTCTGTCTGAGAGCTTGAAGTTTCTTCTTGCTCTGGGACAAGGACAGCAGAAAAGTGCAAGGTCGACCCCGACGACAAGCACACCCTCGGTCGACGGAGCCACGACTAATTACAGCGAATTATGTCGGTTGTACGAGATTACAAACCAGACGCGCGACGATCGCTATGTGCTGCGCTTAGCTCCAATACCGACGGAGATTGGAAACTGACACAGGTTCTGGTCGTTCCAGTCCCTGCTGCTACGCTTAGCAGGGTGATATTTGCAATGGCTACTGCCTGGCTTGCTGCTCTGCTTGAGTAATAACTGGTCATATAAAGGCGGTCTTCTAGGCGAAGCGCGATACTAAAGGCCTGTCATTTCATTGGTAAGAGAATCTTCACACCCTCAAATTCATCGCTGATGCCAATATGTGCCGTTTGATTGGTCGAAAATGGCATTGCTGACCCGCTGATGGGTTCGTTACAGACACACACCAACAAGAGGAAAAAAAACATGTTACAATGGTCGCCCTAAATCCTTTTCTTTCAACAGTGTTACACTCTGGCTGGAAGCATCTAAAAAGAGTTAAAACAAACACAGCAATTTGCAGAACGTATATCTAATAATCATCTCCATCATCCCCCTTCTCCACATGCCTCTTCACAATGTTTTTTACATAATCCTTTTGTACCCGCTCCATCACTGCATCTTCGTCCTCGTCCTCGCTCGCCAAAACAGGCCCAACCTTGCACAACGCAAACGCAACATCTGCGCCAGCAAAGACATCAAAGTTAGCCATCACGAACAAGCGGGCTACCTTCCATAATCACAAACGTTGTAACAAAAATCAACCTAAAATAAGAAATCTCACCTTGCGTGGTGCAGTTCTTCCCGCCGAACTGTTGCATGCCAGCAAGGGTCGCCTTGAGGGCCCCCTTGTGGTACACGAGCAGCGTGGGCAGGTGTGCATCAGGGTAGTTGGGGATGCATTCTGTGCTCACTATGCACACAAACTTGGTCTGCGGGTGCGAGCGAGCTAACTCTGAGAGGCAGTTGTTGATGATGCTGCAGGCTGCCACACTGGGGAGGGAAATAAGATGGGATGGAAGAGAGGGTGGAGAAAACGTGAGTGGTTGGGTTGGGGATGCACTCAGTGCTCACTATGCGCACAAACTTGGTCTGCGGGTGCGAACGCGCGAGCTCCGAGAGACGGTTTGTTGATGATGCTGCAGGCTGCCACGCTGCGAACGGAAGGAGATGTGGGATGGAATCGGAGTAAGAGTGGGGAAAGGGTCTTGAGTGTGCAGTTGCTTCTCACTCTGCCTGCTCACAGCCTTGGGGTCCAGGTGGGAGAGACTGGATGCTCACTGTGAGCACAGCCTTGGGATGCAGGTGGGACAAAGAGGCACCTGGCTGGCAGTGATAAGGCATGCATGTGCATGCACTGATGCATGGCTACAATGCAGTGCAGCTGTCTTTTGGAAACAATAGCCGTTCACCTGTGCAGGACATGAGCTAGCCCCCCACCTCCTCTAGGCTTCTAGCTAGATATGCCTCTTAATCAACCCATTCTTCTTCCAAGCGGCACCCACCTGTCTGGCAAGGGGCAGCACTCACCTGTCTAACAAGCCTCCCTGAAGCAGCACCCACCTACCTCGAAAGCAATGCACCGCCACCCACACACCGTCACACCCTGAATCGCCTCTGTTTCCTGCCCCAACCAGTCCCTCGCACATTCCCGCCCCGTGATCCAGGCGGGTGCTGCAATGCGACTCAGAGAGACCACATTGCAAACAGCAACCCACTGGTGTTGCAAGAAAATCAGCAGCCCAGCCGACCTGTCTCGCAAGGGCCACCCACCCACCTGTCTCGGAAGAGGTGCACCACCACCCACACATTCTGACTCGCCTCCGTCACCTCCCTCACAAAGTCCGGCCCCGTAATCCTCTCCACCCCTCCGTACCGCGGCCGCGCCGCTGCTGCCTTCAGCTCTGCCACTCTCCGCCTCCTGAAGGGGATCAACAGCAGGGAAGAGGTTGGAACGAGGGGGGAGGGAGGTTAGATCAGGGGGAGACGGGGGAGGGGGTAGAGCGTGTGATCACCTTCATTCCCCAACCTCGCCTCACGTTTCCCACTCACTCTCAGTTCACTCCCACCCCTTGCCCGAATTGCATGTCCATCACACGTGTCCATCCCACCTGCCACGTGGCCATCTCACCTGTACTCCTCCATGAACCGGTCATCATCCACGTCATCCTCCAGGTCGTCCAGCTCATCAGCCGTGCGTGTGTCCAGCTCGTCCGTCCGCTTCCTCTCCTCTGCCGGCTCCCATGGAGTTGTCTTGGGCTTCTCGCGTGGAGCAAGGTTGCCGTATTTCACCTGCCAGGGGAAAGACAAGCAGCAAGGGGTAACGCGAATCAGCCGTACGCGTGTCCAGCTCATCCGAGCGCCTTTTGGGGCGACTCAAAGGTCACCTCGAATCAGCCGTGCGTGTGTCCAGCTCGTCATTGCGTTTTTTCTCCTCTGCCGGCTCCCATGGAGTTGCCTTGGGCTTCTCGCGTGGAGCAAGGTTGCCGTATTTCACCTGCCCCGAAGATGGGGAAACATTGTGAGACAGTTGTGCTTTAGAGTGCATCAAGTCAAGACTAGACTGCATGCTCATCAGCCGTGCGTGTGTCCAGCTCATCGGTGCGCTTCCTCTCCTCTGCCGGCTCCCATGGAGTTGCCTTGGGCTTCTCCCGCGGAGCAAGGTTGCCATACTTCACCTGCCAGGGGAAAGACAAGCAGCAAAAAGTAAGGCGAATCAGCCGAACTCATGTCCAGCTCGTCCAGGCGACTTTTGGGTCGACTCAAAGGTCACCTCGAATCAGCCGTACGCGTATCCAGCTCATCAGCCTTGCGTGTGTCCAGCTCATCCGTGCGCCTTTTCTTTTCTGCCAGCTCCCATGCTGCTGTCTTTGGCTTCTCACGCGGAGCAAGGTTGCGAAATTTCACCTCCCCGGGAATCAGGGAACGTGGTAAAAATATCGTGCGTTGGGGCGCACCCAAAGTCAACGGCAGAAGTGGAGACGGGATTGCAACAAGGGAGAAGGAGAACAGAAGTTGCTAGGGCTCGCAGGAGGAAATATGGCCCTTGTCCTTTGCCGACGTACCGATCCGTGTAAGGTCCCTAGGCGAGCAGAAGAAAGGCTCTGAGTGCAAACCACAGATCAAGGTCAAGTGAGGGTACCCAGCGTTTCGATTCAAAAGCAGCAACTACATAAGCATCTGGAGCTTCCAAATCCCTTTACCACAATTTCCCTTCCTTGCATTCTCTGCTTCTTAATAAACGGGACTGGAACAAACAGGCGCTCCCGAGAGCCAGCGGATTTACACAGCGTGGGCTTATTTAATCATGCTCTGATAATATCGAATTACATTGTCTCTGATCACCATCACATATTTTTCTAAACAGCAGAAAGAGCATCAGCTCCCTCCCACTGTGTTCACTATCAGCGGTAGCGGCCAACTTTACTACCTGAAGGTCCTCCCACTCCGTCCTAATGTACTTCTAGTCGATTCAAGGGGAACATCTGAACAAGCGGGCACGCGATCTCTTTATAGCAGCTGGAGCGGAGCGAACACAACGGTGAATTGCGGGAAGGCGAACGGCGTTCCTACCTGAAGGTCCTCCCACTCCGTCGTCGTGCCCTCCGGTTCCTTGTACACCGTGTGGTAATCCGCCATAGTCACGCGCTGGTATGAATATTACCGTGATTAAACGGAAAATAATAGTTCAACAAGCGATCGCAGACGACTCTGGTATCCCCTGCGCGTTGCGTAGTAATAGCAGCCTGTTGATAACGGCGTGTTACAGCTAACTAGAGAAGCACGCGGTGCTTGATTATGCTGCGGCTGCACAGCAAGGCACGGACTCACAGCAATACCCTCACAGCCATATTCTCATAATCTGAACAATTTCTGCTTCAGGGAGGGTCCAAACAGTACCTCGGAATGGGGTTGGAAAAGGTTTGGACCTGAAACAGAGCGGTCTAATCAAAAAGCCAGATGGTTGGGTAGGGTTCCTGCGAATACGTGCATTGTTGGGCCCGCCCCCGTAATCCTCGGGCTTGGTCTGATGAAGTGTTGTGCACGGCCTTGGGATTGCCGTCACGCCACCTTCGGTCTCTTCACCGACGTGTCTTCATTGTACGCCCCCTCGTTCCACGCGAATGTCCCGAACTGGTAATTATATGTGCCAGATGAGGTGGTCGCAATTTTCCTGTGTCTTAGGTATGATGTTCACATGTGACAGTTCTAGGAATTTTCTTAAGTTTGCGTAATGCTTGAGAAGTGTGCCTAAAGTCATGAATCTCCTGCAATGAATAATTGCAGGCCGATGATGGAAGGTCCGAGTGTTATTGATCCTTATCGTAAGACTTCAACGATATGTTGCTGCTTTCCCTGCAACACACAAGAACCAGTATGGGATGTATGTATGGGGATGGTGGTGAGGTTAAAGGGTATAAAAACAGCACATGAAACGAAAGCTCAACAAGCGCGAACAAGCAGGCAATGTGGTGGTCAACCAGAGTTACGCCACAAAATAAAAATGCAACTCAATACCGTTATCAAAATCTAAAATTCTACTAAACCCCAATCCACGGCTAACACCTATCACGATCACCACCCCAGGCATACTCAATCCCTCCAATCAGAATAAGCCACCCGACCGTCGCGATGGCAGGAGGCGGGTGAATTCGTCTGCCAGTAGCTGCTCCTCCTCCCCCTCCCGCTCCCCCTTCCCCTTGCCCTCCTTCTCCCCCTCCCCATGGAGGGGCGTAGGCACGAGTGGGGGTGGGTGGGAGGAGAAGGCGGAGATGGTGGAGATGGGGAGAGCAGGGGCGTGCGGGAACAGGACGTAGTGCTGCACAGCAAAGAGGATGTCAAAGGCTATTGTTTCCTGGAAGGGGAGAACAGCGAGGGGAAAAGGGAGAAAAGGCAGGGGGAGGGAGGGCAAGAGCGTTGAGGGAACAGGACGTAGTGCTGCAGTGCGAAGAGGATGTGAAACGCTATTGTTTCCTGGAAGGGAGGGGTAGTGTGGAGAGGGGGGGGAAGTTGGGACGGGGGTGGTGAAGGAGGGTGAGAAGGGGCGTGCAGGAACAGGACGTAGTGCTGCAGTGCTAAGAGGATGTCAAAGGCTATTGTTTCCTGGAGAGGAGGGGCAGTGTGGAGTGGGGGAAGGGGGAAGTTGGGACGGGGGTGGTGAAGGAGAGGTGAGAAGGGGCATGCGGGAACAGGACGTAGTGCTGCAGTGCTAAGAGGATGTCAAAGGCTATTGTTTCCTGGAGAGGAGGGGCAGTGTGGAGTGGGGGAAGGGGGAAGTTGGGACGGGGGTGGTGAAGGAGAGGTGAGAAGGGGCGTGCGGGAACAGGACGTAGTGCTGCAGTGCGAAGAGGATGTCAAAGGCTATTGTTTCCTGGAGAGGGGGGGAGCAGCGGGGTTGGAAAGTTTGGGGGGGAGGCAGGGAGGGCGGGAGAGCAGGGGCGTGGGGAAAGAGGACGTAGTGCTGCAGTGCAAAGAGGATGTCAAATGCTATCGTTTCCTGGAGAGAGGGGGAGCAGTGGAGTGGGCGATGTGGAGGGGGTAAGAAACGGGGGAAGGATGGGAGGGGTGGGAGAGAGGGGGGTTAAGAGGACGTAATGCTGCAGCGCAAGATGATGTCAAAGGCTATTGTCTCTTGAAATGGGGATCAGTGGAATGGGAGATTTGGGAGGGGGGCAGAGGGAAAAGGAGTGGGAGGAGGGGTGGGGTGGGCGGGGGATGCGAGGAGGATGCACGGCAAAGGGGGGTGCGGTGAAAGTGGTAAAAGGCTATTGTCTCCTGAAAAGGGGGAGCGGTGGTGTGGGAGAGTCGAAGGGTGGGGGAGAGGGGAAGCAATGGGGGGGCGGGAAGGGGGGGGGGGAGGGAAGGGGGGAAGACAGGGAGAAAGATGGAGGGTGGGGAGAGAATGTAGTGTTGCACAGCAACAAAGAACTCAAGATTCTCTTGTTCCAAGAAGGTATAGCAAAGCAAATGGGATAGCACAAAACAAGCTGAAGACTATGGCCAATAGACTGGTCACTATAGGTGTGAAGAACAAACCAAAGGTCAGGATGGACTAACAGACCAGTTGTCAAACTATACTACACGTCACAACAGAGCATACAACATCAGCACTCAGCAAAGCAAAGCGCAGCACAGCACAGCACAGCACAGCACAACACCATACCAAACCACACCATACCAAACTACCTCATACCACACCACCTCACACCGCACAACTCCCACTCCACTCCACACCACACCACACCACACCACACCACACCACACTGCACCCAGTGCATACCCCTGAGAGGGCGAGCTTGCCCACATTCCCTGTGAAGTTGACAAATGAGTCTGGATGAGCCAGAGGAGGGAGGGAGTGTGGGGTGGGGGGGGGGGGGGCGAGGGGGGAAGTGCGAAACAGTGGGTAAGAGGTTGAGAGAGCGTGAGGGAGGGATAGAGGGCGAGCTTGCCCTCATTCCCTGTGAAGTTGACGAATGAGCCTGGGAGAGGCAGAGGGGGGAGGGAGGGGGGGGTGGGGAAGAGAAGGGGGGGTGCGAGGAGAGGGTTGGTAAGAGGTTGAGAGAGCGCGAGGAAGGGTAAGAGGACAAGCTCGCCCACGTTGCCTGTTTGACAAATGAGCCAGGATGAGCCAAAGGAGGGAGGGAGCCGGGGGGGGGGGGAGGGGAGGGGGGTTAGAAGGGAGGGAGTGAGGGGGATAGAGGGCGAGATTGCACACGTTGGCTGGTTGGCAGATCAGTCTGTGAGATCGAGGGGGGGGAGTGAGGAGTGGGGAGGAGAGGGGGCGGAATGAGGAGTTGGGGGGAGAAGGGCGGAGTGAGAGTGGGGGGGAGGAAGAGGGGAATCGGGGATGGAGTTGGTAAGAAGTTGAGAGAGGCGTTGGCTTGCGTTGGGACCAAACACTCATGAGAGGCATTATCCACATGGTATGAGGGACGCGGCAGGAAACCCTATTGTGGTTGATGGAGTGCAGACACTTCATGAAACGAGAAGCGACGCCATGCCGCCGCCTGCGAGTAATGCCCGTATGTATGCATGGATGGATGGATGGATGGATGGATGGTTGCTGCAAACGTGCACCCAAGGGAAGAACCGCCACGGGGAAGAAGCGACTCACTCTGATCAATGGACTGCACGAACATCATGAGCAGCGACGCCGTGCCGCCTGTCAGGTCCATGAGCACGTTGCTGATGCTCCCAATGGGAGCATGGAGAGAGAAGGCTCTCAAGGGAAAGAAGCGACTCACTCTGATCAATGGACTGCACGAACATCATGAGCAGCGACGCCGTGCCGCCTGTCAGGTCCATGAGCACGTTGCTGATGCTCCCAATGGGAGCATGGAGAGAGAAGGCTCTCAAGGGAAAGAAGCGACTCACTCTGATCAATGGACTGCACGAACATCATGAGCAGCGACGCCGTGCCGCCTGTCAGGTCCATGAGCACGTTGCTGATGCTCCCAATGGGAGCATGGAGAGAGAAGGCTCTCAAGGGAAAGAAGCGACTCACTCTGATCAATGGACTGCACGAACATCATGAGCAGCGACGCCGTGCCGCCTGTCAGGTCCATGAGCACGTTGCTGATGCTCCCAATGGGAGCATGGAGAGAGAAGGCTCTCAAGGGAAAGAAGCGACTCACTCTGATCAATGGACTGCACGAACATCATGAGCAGCGACGCCGTGCCGCCTGTCAGGTCCATGAGCACGTTGCTGATGCTCCCAATGGGAGCATGGAGAGAGAAGGCTCTCAAGGGAAAGAAGCGACTCACTCTGATCAATGGACTGCACGAACATCATGAGCAGCGACGCCGTGCCGCCTGTCAGGTCCATGAGCACGTTGCTGATGCTCCCAATGGGAGCATGGAGAGAGAAGGCTCTCAAGGGAAAGAAGCGACTCACTCTGATCAATGGACTGCACGAACATCATGAGCAGCGACGCCGTGCCGCCTGTCAGGTCCATGAGCACGTTGCTGATGCTCCCAATGGGAGCATGGAGAGAGAAGGCTCTCAAGGGAAAGAAGCGACTCACTCTGATCAATGGACTGCACGAACATCATGAGCAGCGACGCCGTGCCGCCTGTCAGGTCCATGAGCACGTTGCTGATGCTCCCAATGGGAGCATGGAGAGAGAAGACTCTCAAGGGAAAGAAGCGACTCACTCTGATCAATGGACTGCACGAACATCATGAGCAGCGACGCCGTGCCGCCTGTCAGGTCCATGAGCACGTTGCTGATGCTCCCAATGGGAGCATGGAGAGAGAAGGCTCTCAAGGGAAAGAAGCGACTCACTCTGATCAATGGACTGCACGAACATCATGAGCAGCGACGCCGTGCCGCCTGTCAGGTCCATGAGCACGTTGCTGATGCTCCCAATGGGAGCATGGAGAGAGAAGGCTCTCAAGGGAAAGAAGCGACTCACTCTGATCAATGGACTGCACGAACATCATGAGCAGCGACGCCGTGCCGCCTGTCAGGTCCATGAGCACGTTGCTGATGCTCCCAATGGGAGCATGGAGAGAGAAGGCTCTCAAGGGAAAGAAGCGACTCACTCTGATCAATGGACTGCACGAACATCATGAGCAGCGACGCCGTGCCGCCTGTCAGGTCCATGAGCACGTTGCTGATGCTCCCAATGGGAGCATGGAGAGAGAAGGCTCTCAAGGGAAAGAAGCGACTCACTCTGATCAATGGACTGCACGAACATCATGAGCAGCGACGCCGTGCCGCCTGTCAGGTCCATGAGCACGTTGCTGATGCTCCCAATGGGAGCATGGAGAGAGAAGGCTCTCAAGGGAAAGAAGCGACTCACTCTGATCAATGGACTGCACGAACATCATGAGCAGCGACGCCGTGCCGCCTGTCAGGTCCATGAGCACGTTGCTGATGCTCCCAATGGGAGCATGGAGAGAGAAGACTCTCAAGGGAAAGAAGCGACTCACTCTGATCAATGGACTGCACGAACATCATGAGCAGCGACGCCGTGCCGCCTGTCAGGTCCATGAGCACGTTGCTGATGCTCCCAATGGGAGCATGGAGAGAGAAGGCTCTCAAGGGAAAGAAGCGACTCACTCTGATCAATGGACTGCACGAACATCATGAGCAGCGACGCCGTGCCGCCTGTCAGGTCCATGAGCACGTTGCTGATGCTCCCAATGGGAGCATGGAGAGAGAAGGCTCTCAAGGGAAAGAAGCGACTCACTCTGATCAATGGACTGCACGAACATCATGAGCAGCGACGCCGTGCCGCCTGTCAGGTCCATGAGCACGTTGCTGATGCTCCCAATGGGAGCATGGAGAGAGAAGGCTCTCAAGGGAAAGAAGCGACTCACTCTGATCAATGGACTGCACGAACATCATGAGCAGCGACGCCGTGCCGCCTGTCAGGTCCATGAGCACGTTGCTGATGCTCCCAATGGGAGCATGGAGAGAGAAGACTCTCAAGGGAAAGAAGCGACTCACTCTGATCAATGGACTGCACGAACATCATGAGCAGCGACGCCGTGCCGCCTGTCAGGTCCATGAGCACGTTGCTGATGCTCCACCCCACCGTGCTGCGCCGCTGCCAGTTGAACCACGCCTGGTAGTGAGAGGAGGGGTGAGAGAGGCACAGAGGGACGAGGGAAAGGCGTGGGAGAGAGAGGAAAATCTGCTGATGAGCACGTTGCTGATGCTCCACCCCACCGTGCTGTGCCGCTGCCAGTTGAACCATGCTTTTTGGTCATAGGGTGGGGGAGGAGAGAGACTCATTGGGTCACTCCTTGTGCATACATGACGATAATGTATACCGACGCAAAAAGTTCATAACGTATATTATCATAGACGTGTTCATGTATACATCTACACATGTATAAATGTGTACATACGCAGTATGTGAGGGCCACTAGAAGAACTGCCAGCGATCCAAAAACATACCTAGGGAATGTACATGAATGTCACCTGGATGTGTCTGTCAGTCAGCGACACATACCACATGTAAGAACCACACAAAGAGAAAGTAACCGCATAACCGCGCACCTGGGGAATGTACTTGATGGTGGTCATCACCACTTGGATGCAGGTGTGTGAGATGGATGGATGGATTGTTAGTGTGTGCTGGAGTGATGTGTGCGGCAGTAACCAGAGGGACCGTTACCACTCAACAAGCGCACCTGGGGAATGTACTTAATAGTGGTCATCACCACCTGGATGTAGCTGTTTGCACCATATTGCGTGAAGGGTGGGGGGGAGGGGGGGGCAAAGGTGAACATGAAGACACCGTGAAACAGGGAGGCCGTTAGCTATGTGACAGCATGAAAACACAAAGTAAATGGTGGAGACGGATGGATGACACCCCAACGTTGACTCACGGGTGGCGGCAGTCACAAGAAGAAAGAACGAAAGAACAAAAAAAAAAAAAAAAAAAAAAAAAAAAAAAAAAAAAAAAAAAAACAGCTTCTACAATGAAAGAGGAAGCTTCTCCGATGAATGCGGAAGCTTCTACAATGAATGTGGAAGCTTCTCTGATGAATGCGGAAGCTTCTCCGATGAATGCGGGAGCTTCTCCGATGAATGGGAAAGCTTCTCCGATGAATGCGGAAGCTTCTCCGATGAATGCAGAAGCTTCTCTGATGAATGCGGATGCTTCTCTGACGAATGCAGAAGCTTCTCCGATGAATGCAGAAGCTTCTACATTGAATGCGGAAGCTTTCAGCGGGCACTGAGCAAGCTAACCGAGCTGGAAGCGGGGAACGCTGTGGATGAACGCGGTGGAAACGGAGGGATGCCAGAGGTGATGGAAATAACGTTAGTGTGGTGTGGTGCGGTGTGGTGTGGTGTGGTGTGGTGTGGTGGTGCGGTGTGGTGTGGTGTGGTGTGGTGTGGTGTGGTGTGGTGCGGTGTGGTGTGGTGTGGTGTGGTGTGGTCGTGTGTGGGGCAGCAGGGTGTGACGCACTTGAAGGTGGTGACGAGGCCAAGCCAGTCATTACGGAACGAGGAGTGCAGCGAGGAGAGCAACGCAAAGAGCCACACTCCCAGCGAGATGGCCTTGCACGTCCATGACACACGCTGTCCTCCCCTCTGTGTGCGTTGGGGGGGGCGGGTATGGGGGAGAGGGGCCAAAGATTGAAAGCACTCAGAGAGGAGAGGAGGGCAAAGAGCCACACTCCCATGGAAATGGCCTTGCACGTCCATGACACACGCTGGCCTCCCCTCTGTGTGCATTTATAGCGGGGCGGGGGGGAGTGGAAGAGAGAAGGGAGAGTTGGCGGGATGGGAGGAGAGAGAGAATGAAACATGCAGCCCATCACTCACATCATACACCATGCATGCATTATCCCACTCACATCATACACCATGCATGCACTATCCCACTCACATCATACACCATGCATGCACCATCCCACTCACATCATACACCATGCATGCACCATCCCACTCACATCATACACCATGCATGCACCATCCCACTCACATCATACACCATGCATGCACCATCCCACTCACATCATACACCATGCATACACCATCCCACTCACGTCATACACCATGCATGCACCATCCCACTCACGTCATACAGCATGCACCACTCACATCATACACCATGCACCACTCACATCATACAGCATGCACCACTCACATCATACACCATGCACCACTCACATCATACAGCATGCACCACTCACATCATACACCATGCACCACTCACATCATACACCATGCACCACTCACATCATACAGCATGCACCACTCACATCATACACCATGCACCACTCACATCATACAGCATGCACCACTCACATCATACAGCATGCACCACTCACATCATACACCATGCACCACTCACATCATACACCATGCACTGCCACACGGTGAAGGCAGTGAGGGCGACGGCATGCACTGAAAACGCTACGTCACTGGCTGACACGGGGATGAGCTGCCACCACAACCACAACAGGTAGAAGCAGGAGGAGGGGAAGAGGTGAGAAAATAGTAGCGGGATTGATGGCAAGGCAGTGAGAGCGACGGCATGCACTGAAAACGCTACGTCACTGGCTGACACGGGGATGAGCTGCCACCACAACCACAACAGGTAGAAGCAGGAGGAGGGGAAGAGGTGAGAAAATAGTAGCGGGATTGATGGCAAGGCAGTGAGAGCGACGGCATGCACTGAAAACGCTACGTCACTGGCTGACACGGGGATGAGCTGCCACCACAACCACAACAGGTAGAAGCAGGAGGAGGGGAAGAGGTGAGAAAATAGTAGCGGGATTGATGGCAAGGCAGTGAGAGCGACGGCACGCACTGAAAACGCTACGTCACTGGCTGACACGGGGATGAGCTGCCACCACAACCACAACAGGTAGAAGCAGGAGGAGGGGAAGAGGTGAGAAAATAGTAGCGGAATTGATGGCAAGGCAGTGAGGGCGACGGCATGCACTGAGAACGCCACATCACTGGCTGACACTGGGATGAGCTGCCACCACAACCACAGGGGGAAGAGCGGGGGACGTGGGGGGGCAAGGAAGGGGCAGGAATTGAAGATTTGAATCAAGTTAAAAAACATGACACTCGCTGCCAGCAGATGAGCTGGCACCAGATGAGCTGGCACCAGATGAGCTGGCACCAGATGAGCTGGCACCAGATGAGCTGCCACCACAAACCACAGGGTACGGAGCGGTGGAATGCGTTGCTCATTACGAGCGCGACGGGGGGTTGGTTGACTTAAGCAAGGAACGGGCATGATAAGCTTCAATCACTCACTCACACGCAACAAGTCACGAATCACACACTTACCTCCCCTGCGCGGCACTTGGCGTGCATGACACTCGCCTCCTCTGAGCCATGCTTGGCGTGGTAGTACTGCTGCTGACATACTGCACGAGCTGTGAGAGGAATGCACTATGGGTGTGTGTGGATTGGGTTGAGGGTGCTTGCGTCACGCACATGATAAGACTGACCCACTCACCTCCTCTGGGCCGTACTTGGCGTGGTACTGATCCTGGACAATGGGCGAGAAGAACATGGCAGCGTTGAACACGAGGTAGGCGGTGTGCTTGGTGAGGTTGAACACCAGAAAGTCGAAGTTGAGCCCGATAACACTGTGAGAGGAGAGGGGAGAGCGGAAAGAGAGGAGTGGAAAAGGAGGAGGGGGAGACGATGTAATGATGGAAGGCAGAGAATGGCAATCAACAGTGTGCTTGGTGAGGTTGAACCCGAGGAAGTCAAAGTTGAGCCCGATCACGCTACGAGAGGGGAGGGGAGAGTGGGGGGGAGGTGCGTGCGGGATTTGACACGAGGGGCGAGAGAGCATTGCAGTGTCAGAGGCGATTTTTAAGAATTCTCAAAGAGAGCATTGCACTGTCAGAGGCGATGCAGGCGGTTGCACCGTCAAGAGACGCACCTCTTGCGTTTCCAATTGAGCCCCAAGCGCACCTGACCTCATTGCACCCGTGCCACTGCTAGCACCCCTCTTTCAACAACTGCACGCACCTCTCTCTCACTGCGCGCACCACACTCTCACTGCACGCACCTCTTGCGTTTCCAGTTAAGAACGGCCTGTGGGTAGAAGGAGAGCGACCAGACGAGGAAGGCGAGCCATCCCAACGACTCGTACAGCACGTGCAGGCCTAGGGAATGCCACGCGCACGCGCTCGACTCGCACGCTACACCTGCTGCCGTTGCTACTGCTGCCGCTGCTGTCGTTGCTGCCATGTCAGCAGCTGACGGGTTAGACGAGGCGAGTAGTAACGAGGATGCCAGTGCAGTGGGTGTAGCAATGAATGATGCTACTAGTGCTCCTACCGCTGCTACTGCTGCTGTTGCTACTTTTGGACTGGAATCTCCTGAATCAACGGCTGCGAGGAGATCTGATCCTACAATTGAACGGTCAAAGGACGCCGAGAAGGATCGAGGAACTGGGAAGTACGTACTAACCTCCTCAAAGCGGCGTTCAGGGAAACTGAAATCGTCAGAGAGACTACTTTGGTTCGTGCGCGCTAGTAGCAGCTCATCAGTAGTATCTAACGCGCGAGCTGGTTCCGCAGGATATCGCGATGAACAGGAAGATGCAGTTGTGGGGACAGTGGGAATATATTTACACGAAGCTGATGGAGCCGAATGGCAAGCGGTGCTGCCTATAACGCGTACTTCTTTTCTAATCAGTAACCCCCGAAATGGAGGAAGGGATAACACGGGCATAAAAGCTTTCCGCTGAGCAACTGTGTACACTGACTCGGAGAATTGTTAGTTATGGTATTCGACGTGATCAACGCAACCTGCGCAGTAGCGTACGACGCGCTGAAAAGAAAAAGAAAGAAAGAAAGGGGGAAAAAAAACTATGTGAATTGAACGATTGGCAACACTCTAGCCTGACGCGTCGCACGGGTCGCCAGCAGGAGTCGGATCTGCGGCGCGCGCGAGAGAGACGACGATGAATACTAGCGAAGCTACGCCGGAAGCTGCGGGTAAGGCGACTCTGATCTGCAGAATTCAGCCCGGAAATACTCTATTGTATGGTATTTCCGAAGCGTATTATCTCTAACTAACCCGTCTAAACACCACGAGTTCGAAGCGGTTAA